TAGATCTGATCTCCCCAGTACAGGGGCCGCGCACATCAGCGCTTGCTCATTGAGATCCAACGGGCAAAAGGAAAAGTAATAGTAGGACTTTGCAAGGGCATAGTTAGATGCTCATGCTTCAAAGTTAAGTGGAAAAACATGGAACAAAAATTCATCTCACGTATTTAAAAAGGAAGGGAACAATATACTAAAAAGTGGGCAGTGGTGTCATTACAGATTGTTTTCCTTCAACTTCTCCATTTCTATATACATTTTTTTCAACCTAGAATATGTACAATGCTATACATAAGTGTATGTTATTTTTATAAACAGAGAAAATACACCAGTTTTTTTTTTTGTCTTGCCACGTCATTCAAGTGTCAGTCATTACACGCAGATGTGGCAATATTTTTAACTCAATAACGCAGCTCCAGAATGAAGGAGACAGATTAAAGTAAAATGTAAGCATTTATTTGGGGTTTTATTAGGACTGCAGGCCAGACACCATCCAATAAGTTGCCTGGATGGGCAGGACTTACACCCACACAGAAAAAGCACTGGAGATTCTCACTCTGGTTAGTTATGCAAACCATTGTTAGAAATCCAGCAAGTTCTGAGTGGCCACCCACTTTGCAAGTCGGAGAGTTGAATTCTGACTGATCCAAGAACAAGCAAACCCATGAAGGGCCCATTTTCAATCCTGGATGGTCTTCGGGGGAGGCCTTTGTTCCAGCTCCTTCCAGAAGGTAGCTTTTCTGAGCAGGCTTGACATCCCTCAACAGGCCTGGAGGTGCCAGTGCCCGACCGCAGCAGATACCAGACTTCGTTTTAGTTACTCAGACTCAAATCAAACTTCTCATAATGTTGTTTGTCATAACTCAGCAGGCATTTAAAAATGACATCCCCTTGATTACAACAGAGATGGAAAAATGCACAAAACAATGTAAAAATAAACTATTATATATATATATAAAATAAAGAATCCTCAGTTAATTTCCACTCAAGATTTTTAGTATCTTTAGGTACTATAACTGTGCACCATTTTGGAAACTTGTATTATGCTAAATTATAACTATTAATAAGCCACATGTTTATTTTACTTATAAAGACTAAGAAAAGAATGATGACCCACATTCATTAGACCCAGTGGAAGGAAAAAAGACCAAAGAAATGCTGTTTCCCTCTAAAAGAAAATATATTCCTTTCAAATAAATTAAAATAAAAAATGCTGCATGAGATGGCCAACAAGCATATGAAAAAATGTTCAACATCACTCATAATAAGGGAGATGCAAATTAAAACCACAATGAGGTACCACCTCACCCCAGTGAGAATGGCACATCTTCAAACAACTAGCAACAACAAATGTTGGCGAGGATGTGGAGAAAAAGGAACTCTCCTGCACTGCTGGTGGGAATGCAAACTAGTACAACCACTATGGAAAACTGTTTGGAGGTTCCTCAAACTGCTAAACATGGAGCTTCCCTACGACCCAGCAATCCCACTCCTAAGTATCTACCCAAAAGACACAAAAACACTGATTGAAAAAGATACCTGTACCCCCATGTTTATTGCTGCTTTATTTACAATTGGAAAAACATGGAAGCAGCCCAAATGCCCAAAAGTAGATGACTGGATTAGAAAGATGTGGTACATATATACAATGGAATATTGCTCAGCAACCAAAAAAGAGAAACACATGTCTTTTGCAGCAACTTGGATGGAGCTGGAAAAGATCATCATAGTGAGATAAGCCAGAAAGAGAAAGAAAAATACCAGATGGTTTCACTCATTGCAGGAGTATAATGGACCAGGGGAGAAAATAACAAAAATAATGAACAACCATATACCAGAGACATTTTGCGGGGGTGGAGTGGGGAATGGGATCAAAAACGGGGGGGAGGGGGAGGGAAGTGCACGGGATTATGGTGATGGCACACGGGTGACTTGGTGATGGGAAACCCGCAGGGATTACAATTGAGATGGAAAAAAAAATGTACAAAATGATGTAAAAATAAACTGTTGTAAAAGAAAAAAAGAGAAAAAATGCTGCATGAATAAAAAAAAAGAATGACATCCTCTTAATTGCAAAATCTACTGTCTCCTAGACCTCCTCAGTATAGTCCACTGGGGTAGGATTTAAACTGCATGGGCAAAGCAGTGTTCACACGCAGGGGCTCTGGGGGTGCTTCAGCTCAGCATCCTCAAGATTTGGATCCTACTGTGAACCTCGCACTTTCCAACCATTACCCCATGTCACCCCTGTTACAATCCTTTGAAGTAGTGGTTATCCCCCACTTTACAGCCATAAAAGTTGGACTCTCAGTATTCAGTAAATGGCCCACGACTGATCTGCTTGACCTGCTACTAAACAGCAGTGGGGATTCAGACCCACGAGAATGATATCCAAGTCTGTTCTCTGTTTTACGCCAGTAACTTCTCAATAGTTCAGCTGCAGAATCTTCCATTCAAACAAATACCACACTGACAAAGTCACCTCGGGTTGTCACAACAAGGTATCACAGACTGAGAGCTCCAAGAACAGAAATTTGTGCTTTCCTGGTGGCTCAAGGTGTTAAGTCTCAGCACTATGGAGCATCTGAGTTCTAACCCCAGCCAGGATGTTGACCCACATGGCACAGCCTCTCTGGCCTGCTTCTCCCCTCAGCGGTGTTTCAATATATCTTTCTGTTCTGCTCCCCACTCTGCCTCTGGTGAATCTTCTTACCCACACACCCCACACACACCTCTGGCCTGCAACCCAGCTCTGGTATGCATAGATAAATGTCTTTTTTAAAAGAAAGAACAGACACTGATTTATCACGGTTTTGGAGGCCGGATATCCTGGATCCAGGTGCCGGCGGGGGTGCAGCTCCTCTGATGTCTCTCTTCTTGGCTTGCTGACAGCTGCCCTCTCTCTTCTCCACTTGGTTGTTCCTTGAGCACATGCTCTCCTGGAGTCTCTTTGCCTGATTTTCTTTTATGGTAAGGACACAAGCCCCTGGGGCAGAGTCCATTCTAATGACCTTGCTTTAACTTCACCCCCACTTTACAGCCCTATCTCCAAACACAGTCACCGTGGGGGGTACTGAGGGTTAGTTAGGCCTTCAGCATGTGCATATTGAGCGGCCACAGCTCAGCCCTTAGCACCTTGACTCTTAGGTGGGAATGTGACTCTTTCCGGGTCAGACTGGGCTGGGAGGCCAGAGTCCAGCTCTTTACCGCACTCCTTCCATTCACCAAACCCCCTTGATGGGCTCAAGACAAGTATTTGGAAATTTTTACTTTCCATGGTTTTGGAAAAAAGAGGAAATATGAAAAGACCCTCAATAAAACACCACAGATTAGCCATTTCTTTGAAAATACAGGTGGAACATCAGTTAATTTAATGTAGAACAGACACATTTCATCCGGTGTTTCCCTCAGACTTGCACCCAGAGTTACTGTCTAGAAGAAACTCTGACTTTTGTGTCCTGGCCAGTTTCTCAAAGAAGAAAAAACCCCAAGAAATAGTAAATTTTG